ACGAACACACTGAAGTGATTTTTACATTTTACATGCTTTGTAGTGTTGTACTTTCTGCAGTTGTGGTACCATTGGTGATACTTTCTATTGTAGTGACTTTTAAGGTGCTTTTAGTTGTTGTGGTGCTTTTGCAGCTGTGGTATCTGTTGTTGTACTTTCTGGAATTGTGGTGCTGCTGGTGGTGCTTGTTGTGGTCTCTGTTGTGGTACTTTCTACTTACTCCTGAACACTTCAATTTTATGCTGTGGATATATTCTTGATTCTTTAGATATTTTATCAGTGTAATGTAAGGATAACTTAATTAATTCATTAATTAATTATTATATATAATGCAAAATCTTCACATATGGTTACAGAAGGATGATTTAAATTATAAGATTAGTTATTTAAAATAACATAAATAATAGTAAAACAGCACTCATGGATTGTTACCGTTTCCATTCATTTAAAATGTATTTTTATTCGGTACCGATGGTGGTGCTGTCTGTTGTTCCATCTGTTTTGGTGCTTTCTGATGTTGCCGTCTCCGTTGTTGTATTTTCTGAAGTTGTGGTACCGATGGTGGTGCTTCCTGTTGTTGCTGTATCAATAGTGGTGCTGTCTGTTTTTGTCGCGTCTGTTGTTGTACTTTCTTGAGTTGTGGTACCGATGGTAGTGCTTTCTGTTGTTGTACTACCCATCGTGGTACTTTCTGTTGTTGTGGATTCAGTTGTGCTTTCTGTAGTTGTAGTATCTGTTGTGATTCTTTCAGTTGTTGTTGAAGTTTCTGCTGTTGTACTTTCTGGAGTTGTGGTACCAGTGGTGGTGCTTTCTGTTGTTGTACTACCCATCGTGGTACTTTCTGTTGTTGTGGATTCAGTTGTGCTTTCTGTAGTTGTAGTATCGGTTGTGATGCTTTCAGTTGTTGTTGAAGTTTCTGCTGTTGTACTTTCAAAAGTTGTGGTACCGGTGGTGGTGCTTTCTGTTGTTGTAATATCGATTGTGGTGCTGTCTGTTGTTACGGTTGTCTCTGCTGTTGTACTTTCTAGAGTGGTGGTACCAGTGGTGGTACTTTCTGTTGTCATAATGTCCGTTGTGGTGCTTCCTGTTGTTGTGGTCTCTGTGGTAGTACTTTCTTGAGTTGTGGTGCCAGTGGTTGCACTTTCTTTTGTGGTAGTCTCCATTGTGGTGCTTTCTGGAGTCGTGGTGCTTTCTGTTGTTGTAGTGTCCATTGTGGTGCTGTCTGTTGTTGTGGTGCTTTCTGCTGTTGTGGTCTCTGTTGTTGTACTTTCTTGAGTTGTGCTACCAGTCGTGGTGCTTGCTGTTGTTGTAGTATCCATTGTGGTGCTTTCTGTTGTTGTACTTTCTGGAGTTGTGGTAGTGGTGGTGGTACTTTCTGATGTTGTAGCGTCTGTTGTTGTGATCTCCACTGTTGTACTTTCTGGAGTTGTGGTAGTGGTGGTGGTACTTTCTGATGTTGTAGCGTCTGTTGTTGTGATCTCCACTGTTGTACTTTCTGGAGTTGTGGTAGTGGTGGTGGTACTTTCTGATGTTGTAGCGTCTGTTGTTGTGATCTCCACTGTTGTACTTTCTGGAGTTGTGGTACCGATGGTAGTGCTTTCTGTTGTTGTACTACCCATTGTGGTACTTTCTGTTATTGTTGTACTTTCTGTTGTTGTGGATTCAGTTGTGCTTTCTGTAGCTGTAGTATCTGTTGTGATGCTTTCAGTTGTTGTTGAAGTTTCTGATGTTGAACTTTCTGGAGTTGTGGTTCCAATGGTAGTGGTTTCTGTTGTTGTGGATTCAGTTGTGCTCTCTGTAGTTGTAGCATCTGTTGTGGTGCTTTCTGTTGTTTTACTTTCTGTTGTTGTAGTGTCTGATGTTGAACTTTCTGGTGTTGTGGTACCGGAGGTTGTACTTTCTGTTGTTGTCTCAGTTGTGATGCTTTCAGTTGTTGTTGAAGTTTCTGCTGTTGAACTTTCTGAAGTTGTGGTACCGGTGGTCGTGCTTTCTGTTGTTGTAGTATCCATCGTGGTGCTGTCTGTTGTTATTTTGGTCTCTGCTGTTGTACTTTCTAAAATGGTTGTACCGGAGGTGGTACTTTCTGTTGTCATAATGTCCATTGTGGTGCTATCTGTTGTTGTGGTCTCTGTGGTAGTACTTTCTAGAGTTGTGCTGCCAGTAGTTGTACTTTCGGTTGATGTGGTGGTCTCCACTGTGGTGCTTTCTGTTATTACAAAATAGTAAAATATTTACCAAACTTTGTTTAGCAATTTTAATACATAAAATGCAGCTCATAGTGCTTACCAAGAAATAAAAAAATACTACAAATAACAATAAAAACATATCACATTGACACTGCAACTTCAGACAGTAATTAAAACTGATATCAGAATGCTAAATTAATTGACACTGCAACTTCACACAATAATTAAAACTGATATCAGAATGATAAATTAATATTTTAAAAAGACTTTTCTTGACTTGTTTTGTTTTTTTAATGTAAGAGTGAGGCCTTTCTAATTTAAATTGGTTGACAGTTCCAAATTTTGGGGGTTTAGTGGCTAAAAGGATCACCACAGAGTCACTTAGGATGTATTGTATAGTTTACAAGAAGACCAGCCCTAGAAGATTTGAAAATATGATTTGGAACACATTAACATCAAAATAAATTCTTTGCTGAACTGGCAACCAATGTAATTATATTAAAACCATTAATATGGTCTCTCCTTCTTAATTTCATTAGTACTTTGACAGCTGAATTTTGTATCAATAGTAACTTAGGTATAAGACAGTGTACATAGCATTAAAGTAATCACGATGAGCAAAAATAATAAATAAAGAGTTTGTCGCTTGATTAATGTGAGATTTACAACTCTAATCATAGTCCATAATTACGCCTAGGATATTTACTTCTATCTTTCAGGAACAGCATATAGTTCTTAATATTTTATTGATACATAGTCACCTATTTTAATAAATTATTACCTTTCTCCCAATATACGTCTTGAATCAATTTAGAATATTACCGGAGAGACCAATTTCTAGTCTGTTCAGCAAAATTAAATAATCAAGTGTCAAATGATGCATTTAGGTCTAAGAGGATTAAGACTGATGCATTGCTCATATTGGTATTTCATCGCAAACTATTTACTACCTTAAATTACTTTACCTATTTAAAAATTATATGTTAGAAATTCGTCTGAGAATATTACAGAGAAAACAATGCAGTCTTTTCCCCCATAAATGTCAGCTTCACAACTGTACATTTTAGTGCATTGGAGAAACTTCCTGCCATTTAAACACCATACTTTAGGTGTAGGGTCAAGTTAGGAATATCACTGAGAAATAGTTTGCAAAATATTATTTTTATTAGCTCTCAATGGACACTTCCATTTTTATGCTGTAGATATATATTCTTGATTTTTCTATATAATTTTTATCAGTAATACGTACAGAAGCCTGAATTTATTATTATCATTATTTAATAGCAAAATCTTTACACCTTGTTACAGAAGGATGATTTAACAAATTGTAAGATTAATTATTTAAAATAACAAATAGTTGAAAAAAGCACTCTAGGATTGTTACCATTTTCATTAGTACATTTTTTAAATAAAATAATTGTCTTTCAGAGTGCACTGTTTGTATATAAAGTACCTCAATGTTGAGTTTATTCTTCCACTACATTTTATTAGATATGGATCTTATTTTAAGTTTCTGTGGAGCCACTATGTATAGAATTAATTTTAAGAAGACATTAAAACTAATATTGGCTTGTGTTAATTTCTGTAGTTCTCTCAGTTGTGGTGCTTTCTGCTATTGTGGTACCGGTGGTGGTGGTGCTGTCTGTTGTTCCTTCAGGTGTGGTGCTTTCTGATGTTGCCGTCTCCGTTGTTGTACTTTCTGGAGTTGTGGTACTGGTGGTTGTACTTTCTGTTTTTGTAGTGCTTTCCGTTGTTGTTACCTCAGTTGTTGTGCTTTCTGTTGGTGTAGTGTCTGCTGTTGTACTTTCTGAAGTTGTGGTACCAGTGGTGGTGCTTTCTGTTGTTGTAGTGCCCATCGTGGTGCTGTCTGTTGTTGTGGTGCTTTCTGTTTGTGTAGTGTCTGCTGTTGTACTTTCTTGAGTTGTGCTACCAGTTGTGGTACTTGCTGATGTTGTAGCGTCTGTTGTTGTGATCTCCACTGTTGTACTTTCTGGAGTTGTGGTAACGATGGTAGTGCTCTCTGTTGTTGGACTACCCATCGTGGTACTTTCTGTTATTGTTGTACTTTCTGTTGTTGTGGATTCAGTTGTGCTTTCTGTAGTTGTAGTATCGGTTGTGATGCTTTCAGTTGTTGTTGAAGTTTCTGCTGTTGAACTTTCTGAAGTTGTGGTACCAGTGGTGGTGCTTTCTGTTGTTGTAGTATCCATTGTGGTGCTGTCTGTTGTTATTGTGGTCTCTGCTGTTGTACTTTCTAGAGGGGTGGTACCGGAGGTGGTACTTTCTGTTGTCGTAATGTCCGTTGTTGTACTTTCTGTTGTTGTGGACTCTGTGGTAGTACTTTCTGGAGTTGTGGTGCCAGTGGTTGCACTTTCTGTTGTGGTGGTCTCCATTGTGGTGCTTTCTGTTGTTGTAGTGTCCATTGTGGTGCTGTCTATTGTTGTGGTACTTTCTGATGTTGTAGCGTCTGTTGTTGTGATCTCCACTGTTGTACTTTCTGGAGTTGTGGTACCAATGGTAGTGATTTCTGTTGTTGATGTACTTTCTGTTGTTGTGGATTCAGTTGTACTTTCTCTAGTTGTAGTGTCTGCTGTTGTACTTTCTGGTGTTGTGGTACCGGAGGTTGTACTTTCTGTTGTTGTCTCAGTTGTCATGCTGTCTGTTATTATTGTTGTCTCTGCTGTTGTACTTTCTGGTGTTGTGGTACCGGAGGTTGTACTTTCTGTTGTTATCTCAGTTGTGATGCCTTCAGTTGTTGTTGAAGTTTCTGCTGTTGTACTTTCAAAAGTTGTGGTACCGGTGGTGGTGCTTTCTGTTGTTGTAGTATCGATTGTGGTGCTGTCTGTTGTTATGGTTGTCTCTTCTGTTGTACTTTTTAGAGTGGTGGTACCAGTGGTCATACTTTCTGTTGTCGTAATGTCCGTTGTGGTGCTTCCTGTTGTTGTGGTCTCTGTGGTAGTACTTTCTGGAGTTGTGGTGCCAGTGGTTGTACTGTCTTTTGCGGTGGTCTCCATTGTGGTGCTTTCTGGAGTCGTGAGGCTTTCTGTTGTTAAATAATAGTAAAACATTTACCAAACTTTGTTTAGCACTTTTAATACATAAAATGCAGCTCATAGTGCTTAACAACAATTTAAAAACTACAAACAAACAAATATAAATTTGCCACATTGACACTGCAACTTCACACAATAATTAAAACTGATATCAGAATGATAAATTAATATTTTAAAAAGACTTGTCTTGACTTGTTTTGTTTTTTTAATGGAAGATTGAGGCCTTTCTAATTTAAATTGGTTGACAGTTCCAAATTTTGGGGGTTTATTTTTTTTTATATATGAAAGAGTGAAGCCTTTCTAATTTAAATTGGTTGACAGTTCCAAATTTTGGGGGTTTAGTGGCTAAAAGGATCACCACAGAGTCACTTAGGATTTATTGTATAGTTTGCCAAATGACCAGCACTAGAAGATCTGAAACTTTGATTTGGAACACATTAACATAAAAATCAATTCTTTGCTGAACTGGCAACCAATGTAATTGTATTAAAACCATTAATATGGTCTCTCCTTCTTAATTTCATTTGTACTTTGACAGCTGAATTTTGTATCAATTGTAACTTAGGTATAAGATAGTGTACATAGCATTAAAGTAATCAAGACGAGCAAAAATAATAAATAAAATGTTTGTCGCTTGATTAATGTGAGATTTTAACTAAAATCATAGTCCATAATTACACCTAGGTTCTTTACTTCTATCTTCTATTTTCAGGAACAGCATAGAGTACCTAATATTTCATTGATACATAGTCACCTATTTTAATACATTATTACCTTTCTCCCAATATACGTCTTGAATCAATTTAGAATATTACCAGAGAGACCAATTTCTAGTCTGTTAAGCAAAATTAAATAATCAAGTGTCAAATGATGCATTTAGGTCTAAGAAGATTAAGACTGATGCATTGCTCATATTGGTATTTCATCGCAAACTACTGTATTTACTACCTTAAATTACTTTACCTATTTAAAAATTATATGTTAGAAATTGTTCTGAGAATATTACAGAGAAAACAATGCAGTTTTTTCCCTCTTAAGGTTCAGCTTCACAACTGTACATTTTAAAGCATTGGAGAAACTTCCTCCCATTTAAACAAGACACTTTAGGTGTAGGGTCAAGTTAGGAATATCACTGGGAAACAGTTTGCAAAAGATTATTTTTATTAGCTCTCAATGAACACTTACATTTTTATGCTGTAGAGATATATTCTTGATCTTCTATAGAAATTGTATCAGTGTTATGGATAGAAGACTTAATTTAATATTTTTATTATTATTATTATTAAATAGCAAAATATTCTTACATTGTTACAGAAGGATGATTTAATAAATTGTTAGATTAATTATTTAAAATAAAAGATAATTGAAAAAAGCACTCTGGGATTGTTACCATTTTTATTAATACATTTTTTAAATAAAATAATTGTCTTTCAGAGTGCACTGTTTGTATATAAAGTACCTCAATGTTGAGTTTATTCTTCCACTACATTTTATTAGATATGGATCTTATTTTAAGTTTCTGTGGAGCCACTATGTATAGAATTAATTTTAAGAAGACATTAAAACTAATATTGGCTTGTGTTAATTTCTGTAGTTCTCTCAGTTGTGGTGCTTTCTGCTATTGTGGTACCGGTGGTGGTGGTGCTGTCTGTTGTTCCTTCAGGTGTGGTGCTTTCTGATGTTGCCGTCTCCGTTGTTGTACTTTCTGGAGTTGTGGTACTGGTGGTTGTACTTTCTGTTTTTGTAGTGCTTTCCGTTGTTGTTACCTCAGTTGTTGTGCTTTCTGTTGGTGTAGTGTCTGCTGTTGTACTTTCTGAAGTTGTGGTACCAGTGGTGGTGCTTTCTGTTGTTGTAGTGCCCATCGTGGTGCTGTCTGTTGTTGTGGTATCTGTTGTTGTACTTTCTTGGGTTGTGCTACCAGTTGTGGTACTTACTGTTGTTGTAGTATCCATTGTGGTGCTTTCTGTTGTTGTACTTTCTGGAGTTGTGGTAATGGTGGTGGAACTTTCTGATGTTGTAGCGTCTGTTGTTGTGATTTCCACTGTTGTACTTTCTGGAGTTGTGGTAACGATGGTAGTGCTCTCTGTTGTTGGACTACCCATCGTGGTACTTTCTGTTATTGTTGTACTTTCTGTTGTTGTGGATTCAGTTGTGCTTTCTGTAGTTGTAGTATCGGTTGTGATGCTTTCAGTTGTTGTTGAAGTTTCTGCTGTTGAACTTTCTGAAGTTGTGGTACCAGTGGTGGTGCTTTCTGTTGTTGTAGTATCCATTGTGGTGCTGTCTGTTGTTATTGTGGTCTCTGCTGTTGTACTTTCTAGACTGGTGGTACCAGAGGTGCTACTTTCTGATGTCGTAATGTCCGTTGTGGTGCTTTCTGTTGTTGTGGTCTCTGTAGTAGTACTTTCTGGAGTTGTGGTGCCAGTGGTTTCACTTTCTGTTGTTGTAGTGTCTGTTGTTGTACTTTCTGGAGCTGTGGTAACGGTGCTGGTACTTTCTGTTGTTGTAGTGTCTGTTGTTGTGGTTTCCACTGTTGTACTTTCTGGAGTTGTGGTACCAGTTGTGGTACTTTCTGTTGTCGTAATGTCCGTTGTTGTGCTTTCTGTTGTTGTGGTCTCTGTGGTAGTACTTTCTGGAGTCGTGGTGCC